AATTTTATTATTTTTATAAAAAAAACACAAGAACAAAGATTAAAATATATAGATAAACTATGCGAATTTTTTCCATAAATTAATAAAAACTTGACAAGCACTTAAAGATAAAACGAAATGAGGATTTGCTATATTGCATATCAAATAAATCAAGCATTTTTTTTTTCTTGTTTTAAATTTTGTAAAATATGAAGGACAGTATTGATAATGTAAATAAGATATTGATTTTATTATTGCTGGAAAATTTTACCGAGACAAGACATAAACGTAGGCCATAGTAAGCAGAATAATATTGCTCATACTGAAGCCACATTTTTGTATTGGAACAATCTACCATCTTCTGCTGGTTGGATATAGACATGATCATAGTTCGCTAGAGGGCAAATTGCATCAAGGTCGTTCAAAATCTTTTGCTGTACTAAAAATATCGATGATACGTGTGAATCGATATTGCAGAATCATCATATGGTTGCCGACGATATTTGGCACATGACGGGGAATAATATCATCGTCGTAATAAAATAATTAGTTGGCCCGAATCATTGTTTTTGTTTCCATCTATAATTACATTTTCATTAACAAATTATATCAGCTTTAATATGACAAGATCAACGAACTATTGCCTAGTGAAATACAAATAGAGGTCACTAATACTCATACTTCTAATGTAGACGCTACAATTCTTTGTACGTTTCGACCCTCTTAATAGTATTTTTCCATTCTAACCTCTCGGCTAATTTTCTTTTTCATTGCCTGATATTCGTGGGTTAAGGTCTTAGTGGTCTAACCTCTACTCGTACCCACTCCACATTGATAAAGTGAAGTCGACTGCCGCCAAGTCCTACTTCTAATGAAATAGTACATAATATCAATAAAAAAATCGACACGCTTAGAAGTTTAATTATATTAAATGCGCTCTAATTGGATGTAACAGTAAAAGTCGTATACATAAACATCTTATCTTCCACTGTTTACCTGCCCCAAAAAAGTTTATTGGGTATAACATATAAAGTTAGGTTTAAATGGGCCAGAACCGTAAATAACATTTTACAAAATGTTGTGCTGTAAGTTGTTTATTTTACGCATAGCAACACGTGACAAAAATATCGTGTAATAAGGTTCTGAAACTGTTTTCTTGTGGCACGTCTAGTTAAATACTTTTTTGGATATGCTAATTCATTTTCTGGATATGCTAATCACAAAAGAGGATATGAGAGTATGCAGCCAAAGTTTGGAGAAAACCAACTCACACCAACGGATATTTAAACTAACACTCAAACCACAACGTAAACATCATCAAAGGAATCATAAAGTATATGATACAGCCCAAAACACCTTCTCCTATGAAAAGGCCTTTCAAGAGGAAAAAACCCTGCTTTCAAAGGTTCTACCAAAAAAATTATTACCTATTGTCATTTATAAACAAGAAATTCTACCAAAAGATAGACAAAACAAAACAACAAAACACAAGGGACTGTATAAAGTTCATTACCATTCTTCTTGTTTCATCGGCCAACTTATTATGTCTGTTTTTATGAACACCCTTATTATGTCTATCTTCTTTAGCATCGCCAAATTCACGTAATTTTTCTTTATGGTTTGAATATGGCGATAAGTGATGTGCATGTATCTTTTAAGGAACCACTTACATTTACTCGAACTCTATAACTATAGGAGAATTGATTAAGACTTGTTTCAGCTTCAGGATTTCAGCTCCTCCGTCTACCAACAGGTACAGTCGTGACAAGACCTTTTAAATATTTGTTTTGAGCATTATAGTTCCCTAACTTATTAAAATGCGCAATTAATCGTTGTCTTTAGTTCACACTTGATAAAAGTTGTAACGATTGCAATTGAAGTCTCCCCCGACCTCGTGAGTAGTAGCACGTATTTTTGTTCGTTACATTATTCATTTTGCTGGTTTTCACCGTTTTTTAACCTAACGTGGATTATCATTATATTTTCTTTACATGTATCACTATCATTAGGATCACTTATCATTGGAAATTTACTCAAAAACAAATTAGTAAAAACTGCGAAATAACAGCGGCTCGCTTAGCGATAACAGAATAGGATTGATAGTAGAGACCAACGGTCGGCAACAGGCGAACCGCGGTCCGAATCCGGACCGCGAAAGGTTGAACTGAGGACCAAACTGCAAAATATCGATTGCTGAGTCTATCACGTTCAAAATAAAACTGCTGTTAATTTTCAAATAGGAATTGAAATGATAAATAAACATAAATAAACAATTAGGTATAACTACTGATGAAATATTGTTTTATAATAATATTGTATGTTTACAATATTATTATAAAACACTGCTGCCCACTGACTGACAGTCGCTCACTAGTTAGTCAGTCAGTGACATGCACGTAGCGCACTACCGATAATTTGTTTTGTGATTACTCGCGTTTTAGTTCGTTTTATAAAACATATTTTGGTACCTACGTTAATATAAATCCGAAAAGGAGAAAAGTACACAGTGACAATAGGAAGTTTCTGCCAGAATGAACTGAATAATATTTTTTTACACTGCTGTATAGACCGCAAGCGGTTCCGGTATGCCTTATATGCAATAAAACTGTAAAAATAGAAATTTGAAGCGATACTACGTAACAACTCATCAGCAGTTCCACAAAAACTTTTCTCTTGGCAGTCAGGCGCGTAAAGAAAAACTTCGGGTATATCTTAATTCTTACGAAAAAAGCACAAAAATCCTATTTTGCTGCATGAGCGACCAAGGAGAACCCCTAGAGGCAGCGTTACGTATGTGCTGGATACTTAACTAACACCAAAAAACATTTTCTTATTCTGAGATAGTGAAGGAATGTATGCTGGCACTAGCTAGGTCACTTTTTGAAGAAAAAAAGATGTCGCCTCAGCAATTTAAAGCATCTCATGTCATAGCGAAGTAATACACGAAGAACGGAAATTTTAGCTGCAGATATTAAAAACTCTCTTCTTAATCTTTTGCAAAAGGCACCTTGCTACGCCACAATACTTGAGGAATCATGTGCCATTCATGATCATGAACAAATGTCTCTTTTTGTAAGATTTCTTAATATTGAGTGTCAGATTTTTAGGAAAGAGTTGCTAGCAATATTGCCGCTGAAAGGTAACAATCGTGAAAAAGATTTATTCAAGGTTATTAATGAATGAATTTCTAAATCTAACATCAGTTATAATAAAATGATTTCGTTTTCTTTTGATGGGGCAATGACTGGCAAAGAAAAAGGTGTAGTAAAGAGGATCAGGGATAAAAATGTAAATATAATAACATATCAGTACATAATACACCAGGCAGCCCTTTGTGGAAAACTTAGTGCTAGACTTACAGAAGTTATGGACAGTTTAGCGAATGTAATTAATTTTATGAGATATTATTCTGCTCTTCAGCACCGACACTTCAAGGAGTTTCTTTTTGAATATAATTCAGCATATTATGACTTACTGCTCGTTGGTTAAGTAAAGGTCAAGTTATTATTATTATAAAATGTAAATACGCAGGGAGCCGAGGGCACATTTTGAGTATATAAAAAACAGGCGCAACATGCTGGTTGTGGCTTTTCGAAAAGATACTTTAAAATATTTTAATGCGCTTAACACAGAGTTACAAGGAAATGGAAGCTGGATATCTTTGAAAAAGATATTGCACAACAAGAATTCATTCATTTTCCAACTATTCTTGAATATAATAAAAATAAGGAGTACTTCAAAGAAGACATTGCAGTGTTGCAAACTATCTTCATTTCTAAAATCACCATTTGAAGTTGATGCAGCGGCAGAATTGACAGATGTGGCTGCTAAGCTATTTAATCTGTCAAAATCATTACTTCAAATGGAGATTATTGAATTACAAGATTATTTGTCCTTGCACGTTTATAAATCGGTATCCGCCGATGAATTTTGGACCAAACATATGCCAGCAAATATGAAAATTGCAGACAACTTGCAATCAATTTGGCCAATATCTTTGGCTCAACGTATATGTGCGAAACGTCTTTGTCAAAAATGCATTTTTTGAAAAACAAATATCGCTCCCGATTAACGGACGCCTACCTCCAAGATACACTTCGAATTTGTTGTTCGACTCGAGCACCAGACCACAAACAACTGACTCAAGACCGTCGGTGCAATTTTTCGCAATAATTTAAGGTCTTTTGTTTTATCATTAAGAATGTACCAAAATAATAAACATCTTGTCATTAAATGTTATCATTTGTTTTTTTTTTTCTGGACCTTGTTCAAATTTTCTTCTAGTGTCCAGACCCCACATAAAATTACTTGACGACCCCTGGTATAGACAGACACCAACGACAATCTACGTTTAGTTAGGTCGTCGGAACTTGATCGTTATTAGCTGTCAGCGCGAGGAACCTGATCGTTATTCTCCGTCAGCATTCAGCTTATATCTGTCCCTTTTATTATCACTTCTGTATGGTGATCGGTATTGTACAAACAAAACCATGTTTTGTGTCTTTTCACAAAAAGCTTAAATATGGCGCCAATATTTAAAATTACGACTAAAAATGGACTTACGAAAATGGTAAAATTCCCGACTCCCGAGTTTTTTCCCGTGGCCCTTAGTTTATTAATAATATTATAATTAAACCTAATCCAACTTTTAGGTTGTTTATTTGTTTGTTTATATTTTGAAAAAAATGAATTGATGACGATTTAAAATACGATTTTTAGTGTTGCATCAAATTATAGCATATTTCACAAATCTTTAAATTTTTTAGGAATTTTATTTTTTTATTAATATTGTGTCTTAGTTTATTAGAAACGATATTCTCAACAGAAAAATCAAACTTTTCTATATAGTACAATGTAAACTGCAACAGAGTAGTACTCGACGGCAGACATGACACTTTGGCAATGTGGAGCCCAATAAAAACAAATAAATCTAATATAAAAAAGACAAACTTTATAATAAAAATTCTTTTATTATTGTATATCATAACTAATATGTGAATAAATTAAATCTTTGTCTTGTTACCCTATTTAATACTGTCCTAATAAGCATAAGAGATTAATTCATTATTCCTAATTATTTAACAATTAGTAATAAATTCTTAAAATCTTAAAAATATAAATTCACAATATGACTCTTTAATTTTGTATAATAAATTTTTTCTCTCGCCAAATTTAATACAAAAAAAATTTTATATTTGGGTTTGGTTTCGATACTGCACAAATTGACAATCACTCAATAATTTATAAAAAATAATTTAAACCATAGAAATAAATTAATAACTTCAGCTAGACCAATATTTATATGCTTAGATGGTTGTCTATATCGTTGTTTATATATTTGACGACCGTATCATGGCTGCTTTCATCGGTACAGTCTTTTTTATCGACAATACACCTGGTCTCGAAAACGTGTTTAATATACGCTACCGATTTCTTTGGTGTTCTTGTTCTCTCTGTAGATGTAAAGTCGACGCTGTAGAGTCCGAATTTGTCTCTGAAAAATAGAAAATAATATGAGTCTATCTAGCTTCACGGGTGTCACGGGATGCTGATGTAAAGATTGGGATGTTTAACATATGTAAAATTTATTGTGTTGGTATTCATAAGTAGTTTTAGTAAATATATAAGATATAAATATAAATTGTGATGGTTAAATGCCAGCCAAATGACATGGGGGAATTGTTGTGACAATCTAACATTTAATAGTTTTTTATGGATGAAGAGTTTTCTTTCTTTTTGTCAAATTCTTTGCAGGTTTGCTTTTTCGAATCTGTTATTAGTTGGTTTAGTACAATTTTAAAATGTTTACATATATGTTTAAGTTATTTGCTTTGGATTTGAAGTTCTTTTCTTTTATATCAATTTTTATATCAAGCATGGCCAAAAAGCATATACTAAGAGACTATCGAAAAGAATACATTCCTGCTTGATTCCATAACGGCGAAGAACTGTACTAAAATTTTCTTGACAGCTGCGATCAAGAATTAGCCGATGAACTGTTTTATAGCCTAGATACAGCGAAACAACAAAAATGGTCGGAAATTGTAGAAAGTCCTAATTTTCAAACATCAATTGGGAAAGCGTGGACATTACTAAGAAAATTGGGAAGTGGAACTCCCATAACAAGGAGCAAAACAACAATTAACCCAAACACTATTGCTGCACATCTGATATCAGCATATAGGGCCCCGAAAGACAAGCTACACGCAATCAAGGTAAAACAGGAGCTCGAAACTTTAAAATTCCAATCTACAAGAACCGAATACTTCCTCTCTTTCACTTGCGAAGAAGTCACTACAGCTCTCAAGGATGTAAAGCTAGATAAAGCCCAAGGTTCTGACAATAATTATCTCGAATTCTTAATTAACAGCGGCAAATATGCGAGTGAAATAATGGCCCTTTTTCACAGAAGTTATGAAAACCGGTACCATACCATAGGAACTCAAACGCTCGAAGGTCATTGACATATTAAAACCAGAAAAACCAAATGATAATAACTCTAAGAACTATAGACCAATAGCCCTACTATCGGCGAAGTTCAAGCTAATAGAGCGACTTATCTTCAACAGAATTACTTCAAAGCTACTTGAATCAATACAGTCGGAATCAATACAGGTTGATCAGACAGGTTTCCGACTGAAAACAAGTTGCGCAGATCAGGTGCTTTCACTTAGCACGTTTATTGAGCAAGGTTCCAGAGAAAACTTTAAACTGCAGCTGCATTCATAGACAACAGCGGCCTGCGACACAGTCTGGAAAGAAGGCATGCATACAATCACCTGTAAATCCACCGCTCGAATAATCAACAGCATGCTAGCCGATCGAACGATTTAATTAGTCATGGGAACTGACATCAGCACCCCAAGAAAACTGAAGAATGGATCTCAGGAATCTATCCTAGCTTCTCCCCTCATTAGCCTGTACATCGCTGATATACCAGAAACCAGATCAAAGAAGTTTGGTTACGTTGATGACTGGGTCCTTGCAACAAGGTGTTATTCATTTGAAGAAACAGAAGAAATCCTTAGGGCGGACTTACACACAGTGGGAAAGTATCTCCGTACAACCCAACTCTACCAAAATTCAAGTTCAGTTTAAATCCAATCCCTGTTTCCACCTAAATAACAAGCTTGCAGAAAGAACACTCAACATTTAATTCGAAAACACCACTCGCCTACAATAAAACACCAAAGTAACTTGGGGTGACTCTTGACAGAACCCTATCTTTCAAAGAACATCTGTCAAAAAAAGCGGAAAAACGTAAATCCAGAAACAACATTATCCAGAAGCTGTGCGGCACATTCTCAACCGCGAAATACTGCTCTTCAGCCTGGCTTAACAGCCCACATATACACAAAGCAGATGCCCAATTGGACCATACAATGAGAATGATTGCTGCCGTTAGTTATCAAATTTACCCCTACGCAATGGCTTCCAGTACCAAGCCACATTCCACTACCCAAACTACGGCGCATAGGTACACTCCCTCACTAGTAAGTACAGAAAGATACTTAGTAATGAAAGCCTGCCAATTCATCAAGATATAGATGCTCCCAAGGTAACCGACTAAGCTCCAGGCGACCGCCAATAAAAACAGCACAGGCTGCTGTGGAAAATGAGTTCTACTTAACGAGCACTTGGACTCGAGAAAGGATGGAACAACAAAATAGCAGCTTACCCTGCATCACGCAAAAACTACCAGGTTTTGACTTACGACGCAACATATGAACTATGCTAAACCGAATCAGAAGTTAACACTTACGGTAGGGGTAAGACAGACATGGTTATATAATGCACAAATGGAGTAAACGACCATCCCCACTCTGTGACTGCTGACAACCACAAACCATCTGTCACATCATAGAACAGTGTCTCACCAGATTCTAGTCGGCAGTCGGACGTCGACAAGTGAGGTTGTGCTTTGTGGATTGAGAACAATAGACCTATTCACCGGTGAATATAAGCACCGAGTTTGTGTAGGCTATTGTTTAACTGAAACAAAGAGAAGAGTGGATGTATTGTTGTTATCTGTAAACCGTTGGAACGTTACATTTATTGGCGTGCCACGGAATACAATAGCAGCGGTATTTTCTGCAGAAAACTACGGGTGATCTCAGTGTGCGAAGGGTATGACACTGTAAGGCTTAGATAGTTGCAGCTAAGTCGGACAGAAACGGCCCCCTCTCCTGAGATTAGAGAACTGCAAGAGGATCCCTCCCTGTGGACACAGGGAGAGAACTACCGCGAAAGGTCCCTGGGACGACACCCAGAAACCTAACTGGCAGCGGCCAGTGAGGTGGAAAAAAACAGAGTCTACTAAGTAAGATACCCTACAATCTTTTGAACTCTGTTCACCGCCGTAAGGCAATATGTCGCTAACCTCCCCAAAGAATAGTCCTGACACGCACGTGTCAGACTTGGAAAAAGAAGATGACGACCAACCCTGGTCGCCCTCCCCCCAGGTCGATAATTTATCTATAATATCAGACACTTATTCAGAAATAGACAATGAAATAACCGTACTTCGCGAGGCCGTTAGACACGCGCATAACCAAAATCAACGCTATGAACTACCCGAAATCTCCGAAGAAATGTATGACAACGACGAAGAAAAACACAGAAGGAAGAGGATACACTCCGACGACGACTCAGAACCTGAGCTTGAGGAAGGCAAAAAATATAAGGAAGCAGACATATCTAATATGGAAAAAGCAGACATGCTAGTCGCTATAACCAAATTAAATCAAATAATAGACGTGCAGCACCGCTACTTCCGGAAAACCCAGGAAGAAATGAAGGCACAAATTCAAGACCTTCAAAACATCATTAAAGAAAAAGATACAGAAAATAAACGTCTAACAGACAAAATCATGAACATTCTAGAAAGAAACGAGATATACCAAACTTCAAAAGAAGAAAAACCGAAAAAGACGGAGATCCAACCCAAAAAACAAGACTCCAAAACACCAAAAGAACCAAAAGAAACCGGAAAAGAACAACAGCACGCTTCCGGCAAAGAAAAAATATCTACCAAAACAAAAAATAAACAAGAAACTATAATTAATAAACAACAGAAAACAACTAATAACCATGAAGAATCTTGTAATGAAGATGACATGGACACAAACGACGCCGAATGGCGAAACAACTCTGTAGAAATTGCCGAGTGGCAAACCCATACAAACAAAAAACTAAAAACCAAAGAAGTAAAGAAAATCAGTGTTGCCGAAAAGCAAACTGAAATTATCCAACAGCGTAAAGAAAAAGAAATGACAAAAAATATCAAAAATATTCAAGAAAAAAAATCCGATAAATCGAAATCTAATACCAACAAAGCTACCGAAAACATCGAAAACAACAATAAAACAGATGTTAACACTAATCAAAATAAACCATTAAAAATTACATCGAAGCCGCCGACAATAATTCTCAAGAGCGTAGGCGAACATCAAAAAATCTTACAGAAGGCCGCAGATAAAAAAATATCATCTGTTAACAAATTTGCACGTTCAGGAAGATCTATTGTAATCCAACCCAAGGCACGTGAGGATTACCTAGGAATGTTGAAAATCCTTGAGGGCCACGCCCCAAGGTCGAGTATGTAGCATATCCAATAGATGGCGACAGACGAAAACGGGTAATAGTCCGAGGGCTGGCCGCTAGCACAGACCCAAAATTAATACAAAATGAGTTAAGCAATCATGGTATTGAAGTTACTAGGGTAGTAAATATGATTTCAAAGAAGGAAGGAAAGGGTGCACTTCCAATGTTTTTAGTCACCATCAACGAGGAAGATGACAAAAGAATTAAAAATGTTACGAATCTTTGCTACATGAAAATTCATGTAGAGGATGAGATAAAAAATACAAAGGAAACCATGCAGTGTTACAACTGTCAAGGCTACTATCATAGCTCCAAGGCTTGCCATTGTGAAGCTAAATGTGTGAAGTGTGGACAAGAACACTTAAGCAGTGAATGCAATATGGACACAGACAACTGGAACCCAAAATGTGCAAACTGCGAAGGTGCACACACAGCAAGCTATCGTGGATGCTCCAAAGCTCCAAAGAGAAAAACTGCCCCTAAAACACAACCTAGAGGCAAACCAATCAACAGCAACACAGTAAATAACGGTGTAAGCTATGCACAGGCTACCAGAAACACAGCCAAGGAAGAAAATAGTACAGCTGCAACAGAAGCAGCAGCGTTAATTGCGAGTATTAACTCCGATTTTAGCGCAAAAATGGCGCATGTCTCCGCAATGATGGAGCAACTTACACAGGTAATGATAGCAATGAGCAGCTTTGGTAAGCAATGTTAGCACACCAGTCGGAGGATCTTCGCATTGGGTCTTGGAACTCAGGTGGATTGTTCACAAAATTAAATCTTCTTGACGAATTTGCAAATAGACTAGAATTAGATATCATAGCACTTCAAGAAACCAAATTAGTGGAAAGAAAGAAGACCAAATTCCCAGGCTATGATATCTACAGGACAGATCACCGAGCAAACTCGGGAGGAACAGCCATTATGGTCAAAAAAGGAATAGAACATCAAAATATACCAACTCCAGGCGGCTTAGTCACCATGGAAGCCACGATAGTTCGTCTTATCGCTGGAAACGAGACACTAAAAATCGTCTCAGCATATGTAAGACCTAATGAGCCTATCCTTGATGAAGATCTGAATCTCATCCTGGACTCAGAAGAACCAACAATCATCATTGGAGACCTTAATGCAAGATCACCCAATTGGTACGACAGGAGAACCAATGGTAATGGAAGACGGCTCTGTGGCTATCTCGAAACAAAAAACAACACTTATGTGGTAGGACCAGTGAATCCAACTTGCTACAACGGAGTAGCTGAACCAACTCACCTCGACATTGCAATCCTACACAACGTGGGTCAACAATATGAAATACATTCATTAAATGAAGGCGATTCAACACATAATTTAATCGTACTGACCCTGGGAGCTATAGATATAAATCAACTAGAGCCCCGAAAAAAGAAAATAACCAGCTGGCCAAATTATAGAAGAATCGTGAGCGAGAACATCGGTGTGATACCCACTATTAATAACATAATGGAGCTGGAAAATAGTGTGGAAAAATTAGAACAAGTCATAATTCATGCCATCGATGCCAGCTCAAAAGAAGAACCAATTATTACGAAACAAGGAAGATTCAAAGATATCAGCCCAGAATTAAGAGAATTAATTCGAGAAAAAAACAGGAAAAGAAGAAGAGCTTACAGAACAAGGACACAAGAAGACAAAAGGATTGCAAACGAGCTAAACAGAGAAGTGAAAAGGCAACTACAAGCCCACAACAGTGAAAGCTGGGAATCCTATATCCAGGAGTTAAATCCAAATAAATCCGGCTTCTGGAAGGTATCCAAAGTGTTAAGAAAAGACAAGAAACCCATCCCACCACTACACGGAGAAAACGGAATTGTCTACACTGAACAAGACAAAGCAGAAGTCCTTAAAGATGAATTTGAAAAAGCATGCAGGAACAACGAACATCCACACGAAGACATCGACTTCACTATACAAGTCGAAAACACAGTCAGGAGGCTAAAAAGAAGAAAGGGCAGAATCGGAATAACACATACATCTCCCGAAGAAGTCAAAAATCTAATAAAAGCGACAAATGCTAAAAAAGCTCCAGGACCGGACAACATTGGTAACAGAGCACTCAAGAACCTACCAACAAAGGGAGTAGTATACATCACAAACATCATTAATAGCATACTAAAATTAAGATACTTCCCGGACAGATGGAAGGAAGCTCATGTTATGATGATAGGAAAGCCAGGAAAGGACGGCACTTTTCCACAAAACTACAGACCTATTAGCTTACTACCATCAGTAAGCAAAATAGCGGAAAGAGTCATATTACATAGACTAAACGAAGAATCGCTAGCTTTGGAATCTATTCCAGAAGCTCAGTTCGGTTTTAGGACCGAACATTCATGTGAACTACAAGTTTTGAGGCTGACAGAATATATCACTAAAGGTTTCAACGAAAAGATGTACACAGCAACGGCGTTCCTCGACGTGAGTAAGGCTTTTGATAGGGTATGGCATCAGGGTCTGCTCTATAAAATGAGCAACCTAGGCTATAGTGAAGCGATGACATGTCTTCTTGCGTCATACCTAGCTAACAGAAGGTTCAGAGTTCGAATAGGTTCAACCCTATCTGAATTAGGGACCCTGGAAGCAGGTGTGCCCCAGGGAGCGGTGTTATCGCCTTATCTGTACACTATCTATACAGCTGACACTCCGACAGACCCGAGAACTATGGTTAGCCTATATGCGGACGATACAGCCATAGCAGCTAGCAGTAGAGATCCAAACCTAGCTGCCAGCTACCTACAAAGCGCTCTGAATAGGTTCCAAAGATGGTGCATAAAATGGAAAATTGCACTAAATCCTGACAAGACACAGGCCGTTATGTACAGACACAGAATAAGGAGACCAGACAGGGAAATCACTATAGAAAACACCCCTGTAGAATGGACGAACGAGGCCAAATACCTCGGAGTCATTTTAGACAGAAAGCTCACTTTCACGGAACACGTAAAACAAACTGTCTACAAAGCAAAAGCACTAAGAAGTCAACTCTCTTCGCTAATCGGCAGAAAGAGCAAACTTCGCTTTAAGACAAAAATGAGGGTAGCTAATAGTATAATACTACCCTCCCTAACATATGCATCTGCCGCATGGGGACACACATGTCAAACGAATAGGAAGAAAATCCAAACAACACAAAACTGGATAATCAGAGAAGCACTGAACCTACCTCAATACGTTCCACTGAGGTATTTATTCAGGGACTCTGGACAGAAAAGAATCCTAAGGACAATGGACGAAAGAGCAAACACCATTTTCAATGGTCTCGTAAATCATCCAAGCAGGACATTAAGAGAGTTGACAAACTACGACATAAACACTAGAACGGTACATAAACGGCCAAAGCAACAACTTATCGGATATAGAGAAGAAGGATAAACGAAGAAAGAGATAGACACAGAGCCGACTACAGAGTATATTAGACAGTGAGCACCAAAAAAATATAGTATATAAGAACAATATACACCGGGGTGTGTGCAGGCACTATACACCCGGGAATGCACACCCCACCACACGCACACTTAGGTTAGATTAGGTTTAGATTAGAATAGGGAAAACAAAAAACACAAAAAAACATATACACGGAGTGTGTGAGAGCGTTATACACTTGGGAATGCACACTCCATAGTTAAGGTCCATAGTTAAGGTATTAGCATAGATAGACTTAGTTTAAAAAAAAAAAAAACAAAAATCGCTCACTGTCTAATTAATGTCATGTCATCTTCAAGATAAACAAGAACACCCGTTACATCACAAAAATTTACATAACACAAAACAAGAATGTATAAAAGGCCCGTCAGGCACTCTATACCAGCCAGCAGGCACAGGCCCTTCAGGCAGATCAAATATTGATCAAACGCGGACTCTGAGCATCGAGGTCATGTGCGGCAAGCATGGGCTCGGTGGCCAGGACTCACTTCTCGAACACCCAGCCGGCGAGGAGAACAAAATTCTTATTTTGTCAAATCGGCGACTGAGTGAACGAGCACACACATTCTTTTCCAGACAGAGAGCTGTCGGTCTAAACCGATGGCTCTCTGTCTGGAACACACGCTCTTTTTAGGGACATGAGTCCCGAAGTAAAGCTAGAGTAACTTCTATAGAGTCAGTAAAGTTAAATAGGGAGAAAAGCCGACATGTGTGCTACCCCTACAGTTAGGTGGCCTAACCACAGTCATTAAAAACAGAAGGTGTCTCATTACCCAAGACACCTTACGTAACATTCAGATCATAAGCCTCCTCACGTAAGTCACACGCTGAGGAGGGGTGGAGGAAAAGCCTGGGGGTCAGATAGGTACCACCTCAACTAGTGAGGTGTAACCGGTTTGATTTTCGGACATGTGGATCCCACTCTTACAGTGGTATACACATGTCCCTAGGGGTAGGGTTGATCGCCTCGCGTGATTGTGTGTGTGGTGCACCAGATTCTATTATTGTAGGTTAGAGGATTTCCTAATGACGATTCCAGAGTCAATAGACTATATATATATATATATATATATATATATATATATATATATATATATTATTATATATATATATATATATACATAAAGTAGTTAGATGTTTGTACACATATGTATTATGTTTTTATACATAATATATGTAAATTTAAATGTAAATGTGTCAAGTGCCAAACGATAAATAAAAAAATAAATTTTAGTTGTTTTTTAGTGCTCAATTTTTATATTGTGATAGTTAATTGATCCCAATTTCCATCGCCTGTGGATATCTGTAGTAATATTAAGAACTCGCTAAGAAACAACACTAAATCGAGAACAGAGGATGGACAAACGTTAATACTTACTTGTATCCCATGTACCATTCAAAATTATCCATCAAACTCCAGGCTGTGTATCCCATGACGTTAGCTCCATCGTCCATCGCATCTCTTAAATTGCTCAGTGTTTCCTAAAAATACGAGAAATTAAAAACAAATTTTTTATAAACTATTAGAAAATACAGAATAAGTATCTACCTGATAGTAATGGATCCTACGGTCATCTTCAAGCGAGGTGCCATTATCAGCATAACCATTTTCAGTAATGAATTGAGGAATGTTATCGTAAGTTTTTCTTATCCAGTTGACCAGTTTCCTCATTGACCAAGGGACCGATTTTAACCAATCTGCGGCTGTCTTCTCCCAATGTTCCGGTTGATATTGGTAGGTTTCTGAGTCTGCTTCCCATGAGATTTCAGTTCTGTTCTTATCTTCTATGTGACGTACCAAACCTGCTGTGTATTGATTGACACCCAGGTAGTCTATTGTTCCCTTGATGTATTTGATTTCTTCGGCAGTGAATTCTGGTAGGCGTGATTGGTTAAAACCTTGAGCTAGACTTCTTCGCGCTATGAATTGTTTCATTTGCCACGGGTAGTCACCTTTGATGATTGGGTTGGCGTACCATCCAAACTGTAAAAGAAATAAAATATGTTTTACATTCACATATGTTTTACATATTACAACCAAATCAAACGATACTGTAGAAATTAAATGCCAATTTATTCGAAATAAAAGTTGTGGCTACTAGAATAAGAAATTTACTATTTTTGTTGGGAATAAGCCACAATTTTACTTTAAAATGACGTTTCGGTTTTTACTTCAGAGAAAGAACCATGTTGGTAAAGAGAGAAAAATCAAAGAGGCGGCTCTCATTATGTTAAATGAATCCAATTACACCAAATTCCTCGGCAAAATGCAGTAGGATTTAATTACCCATATTTAAAAACGGAAATCAATGAAAAGAAAATACCACTTTTAGTAAGTCAATAACATAGCTACGATACATAATTTATCTTTTAAAATATCAAACATACAATCATAGTTTGGTGTTAATATTTTTTAAAGACAATGCACATGATATGATTTTTTTAATGGATAATCTAAGCTACAGTTGATTTCATGTAATCAAATGAACTATAAAACATAATGACGGTATTAGATTTTCATTTAGATGCAGGGCCACAGCAAGCCGCTTATACGTATTTCGACCTCTTTAGGTCTCATCAGAACGACATATGCTGTTGCTCAGAGCAAATAGACAGTAGGAGACTATTAGAACTATTAGGCTTTTTTGGACCTAGAAAGCTAAAATTTGGTATACCCTCATATTTTTTAGTATAGGATACTGTAAAATTTAAGCCACATCGAGAGGGGTCGCCTAACTAACTTTCCCTACGAAAAAAACCGAAATGGAAAGAGCTCAAATGATAATGCTTTAATTGTGTGCCCTAAAAACCATACAGTTTTGCCTCGAATTTATACAAATAAAATCCTATAATAATTATAAAGACTTACGGTGAATTGAATGGCCCTCTCAGCAGCAGCTTTGTCCAATTCGCTATCCGTCTCAGGCTCCATCCACATCGAATCCACAGTAATGCCTACAAATCCTCCTTGTTTTTGTCGATATTCATCGTCGTACATGTGCCACACTTTAGCGTGAGCTTTAATGACGTTGTGGGCACATAAGTATTCTCCAATACCGTGTGACTTAATGGCAGGAGCCCTCTGTCCTGATCCGTAGCCTTGCTGGCAGGTTTGTTTCGCTTCGTTGAAAGTTATCCAATACTTAATATCATCACCAAAATTCTCGTATAGTATTCTCGCGTAATCTACGAACTTGTCGACTATTAGTTCATTCGTCCAACCGCCTATATTCTCCAAAGGTTGTGGGGTATCCCAATGGTGCATAGTAACCAAAGGCTCGATGCCGTGATCCTTCAATTCCTTAATCAACTTCTTATAGTACTGAATCCCAAGTGGGTTGATTTTGTTGTTGAAGCCGCTTGGCAGTATTCTGGACCAGGATATGGAAAAACGATAATGATGGACTCCCAAATGCTTCAGCATAGCTACATCCTCTTTATACTTGTGGTAAGAATCACATGCTACGTCACCGGTGTGGCGGTCGAAGATTGGAGACAACGGGGAATGACTTAAATGGTCCCAATTGTTTTCTCCTTTGCCGTCTTCATTCCAGCCCCCTGGAAAGTAATAAGAAGTGTTAAGAAATTATCTTTTGCATTAAAATTAATGCAAAAACTGAGTTAAGTAAATATTTGCAGAAATGCAAGCATAAGAAAGAAATTGTTGGAGGCTTGTCTAGCTTTATATATATATATATTATATATATATATATATATATATATATATATACAATAAATATATATATATATATATATATATATATATATATATATATATATATATATATAGTTACGTATTACTAAGTACATTTTCTTACATACTCTATGGTTACAAATGTTGTATACATAGGTTAGAACTTAGTACTACCGGTAGTTTAAGCGATGGTTCTCGTTAATGATTTAATTGATTCGGACGTGTACGAACTCATCACTTTATAGCCTCCTATAAAAATTATTAGACCCTCCAAGATATAGTAAACTGATCACCGGCATCCTTTGGAGATAGGTAAACTAATCACCGCAGATAGTTAAACTGATCACCAGTATTTTTGCCCCAAGGCGTTGGTTTCTAATGCGGAAGATTGCCAGTTACCTGCTACCAGTTACCTGTTACACTTATCGTTTATGTGATAATTTATTAAATTCAGAAATTATTTTAAGCAAATTAATTTAAAAAAAAATTAATATCGATTTTTTTTACGGTGTGATCCATTCGACGTATCTGCCAATCTAAGCGGTTTTGAGATCTGAAAATTCAGTTGTATAGTTTCGTTAGTGAACTTTATAATGAAAATATTTATGAACATGTACTGTTTCCATTTATATCGGAAATAGTCCTCAACTTATTAACTAATTAGAAATCTATTTATTATGACAAAATGAATCAAAATGCTTAAGTACAGTCTCCTGGCTTTTATAGACGGTTAAAGCCAAAGAAACAGGACAGGTACATGTAAACTTTGAAATTTTATGTACACCATTGTTTAGTACTGTATAAGCGTAGATACAAAAGGGGGGATATTGGAATGAGAATCGTAAAAATGGTTGGAAAAATGAGAATGAAAGAATTCGCATGGATTTGTGGTAAAATGTATATAGCTAGACTGGGATGCCCAAACAGTTCGTTGGAAAAGAGACTCATTACTTACGTAGTTCTCAAACATATAATCGGCCATTTTCATAAAAATACGCCGACAAAACGTTGACAAAACAATCGCCGACTCATTCTGGGTCCAAAAATCGCCAGCCAAATAACAGGTGCAGCGACTTGCCGTTGGAATCTCCCCTCTTGTAAGTGGTTACAAAACCAAGTTTTTTGATTTTGCGAAATCAACTTTAAGTCGAGTGAATTTTTTTTACTAAAGACACTGAAGTGTACTTATATTAAAATCTGGTGAGTAAGACCAATTATCAATTTGTTTCTAACTTAAATTACTAATGAAAACTTAAAATTAGGTGTCTACTCGCTAGTATCTTTCCTATTATTTCTAATAACTAGCATTAAATTTAGCATGCATACTCGCACAAAGCTTTGCTCTGCTTTTTACTCACTTACTATACCGGTTCAAAAGGCTTTGTTCTTTTGAGCCTTCTCTCTAGGTTCGTATTGTCGAGGAGCTGGATAGCCTCGACGTTTACACGGTGATGGAGTCGTTGTTCATGGCTCCCTGTAAATTTCTTGATTATTTGATTGACATTTTCCATCTTGAGGTCCCGTTGAAGATCGTTGTTCTTAGTGTCAAGTATTTTTGAAGTCAAGTGAAATAAACACCCAATTCGGTTCACAGACGGTCAAACGGCAATTACGAAATCAAGTCTTCAACTTTATCTGAAACTTGAAATCAAGTTTCAAATCAAAGTACAAGTCTCGATGGACTTAAAATGACATTAACTTTTTCGAAGCAACGAATTAATTCAGTAATGCCCATTTAATCAGATATAGATGGTAAATAACTGCAAGAAAAACTTTGGAACGTATTGAAATGTACTATCCAAGTAATATGCTCTGCTTTCACAAGTATCGTAAATTCTCATGAATGCCAAAAATAATAATATTTTATAGCGAATCATTATCCAACATAAAACATTTATCGAGCTCCGTCTTTAGATTCATCTGTTGGATTGTTTGATATGCTTTTCCATTGTCTCTTGTACAGGTGACATAAAAAGAAAACAATCGTTGCTAATATTCCTCCGAACACAACAGATGTCCGTTGTTGTCATGTGTTTTTTGAAAGAAGTTGCAATCTTTTGGTGAATGATTTTTGATGATGATGAATGATGATTTTGAGCTTTGATCTTGCAGGTGTTGTTATTGACTTAACGGATTAGTTTTCGAAGGTTGCTTACGTGATTGTGTCCTAAGACGCAGTGCAGAATATTTTTCGCAACTAAAATAATTATATAAATATAAACACATACTGGCCATTTTCAGAAAACTGGACTTTATTACATAAAATAAAGTCTTGGCATATTTTTACGTTTTATGTGAAAAATTACTTGATTAAATTATAAAAAATGATCCACTTATGGTTAAGTCAAAAAAATATTTGGATCTTCAGCTGTTATTGCAAAACTTATTATAAGAGTACAATTGCAATTCTACACAGAAATTAGTTATTTATACTTAATGTTTTTGCAATCGTGGCATTTTGAATTTTTATTAAAAATATCTAGCAAGAAAAATGTAAAGTATTTCTTAACAAACACTAAAGAACAATATTGACATACATTTGTGTTTACATTTAAACTTCTAAATATGCAGGGTGTTTCACTCTATCACCGTTCACGAAACATGGAAATTGTGTCAAGTAAGAAAAATAGCGGAGTTCTGTAGAATTAAGTGGTCGATCATCAAAAATTATTTTCGGCTAAACGAAATGTTGCATGTCACATGATTTAGGTAGTTTTTAATATAACACCATCTTCAATATTACACCGATTCACACGTATTATTACCGTACTTTTCTGAAATGGAGAATGCATAAATAACGTACATATTTTATATACATACTTTGGTTTGTATCTAACAGTTTTGTAAATATTAATTATCTTATTCGTATTGCAATTGTCCACAAAAGTAATTCGATTTTAGAGTCTTTCGCAATTGAAATTTGAAATTATTGATATCTATCTTTTCTGTTCGCGTTGGCTCAAAACGTAACGAGCAGCTCACTATCCATGTTAAAGGAACACGAGCAAATAAAGATAAATTTTTCTAGGCGTATAGTTTTAGGTATATATAGGTCTATCAATAGAATTTTAAAGAATTCTTAAATAAAAACCAATAAGTTACATTTACATTTAATACATCGATTAGATTCATTATGTCAAATTACCAAATATTAGCAGTTTGCAAGGGGTTTATAGTCTATACCTGTCACGGGGTGCAGGTAGGCCAGTGATGATTTACCAATCTCTTGGGGTCTGTTTGAAAATCCCTACTTTTATGGAGGTGATGAGTTTGTACTATGTACAAGGGTATCTGTGGTAATTGGTGATGAGTTTACGTGTACCCATTTATTCGTGTGATTTTAACGTACCTTCTATTTGGTATGCAGCCGTCGCAGTACCGAACATAAACTTAGGGGGGAATTTTTTCGTGTTCAGTGATTGGGAGCTCCTAAAAAATATAAAATGTAGGTTTACTTTTATGTACCTAAAGTACCTACAAAAATCGTCAATTCAAATATACAGAGCCTTGCGAAATTGTTCAACGCAGCTTGAATTTAAAATTTGTTCTTGTTATTAATTATCACGTCAGAAGACAAAAATTAGTCAAGACTTTTACGAATTTAAATTTACTTTTGGTTCTAATACAGTTAAAAAAGTGAATATAAAGAATCATGGGCTCTGTATGACCTTTCAATCCAAGAAAATCTGCTAGAAAATTCAGAAAAATGACCTACTTTAAGTGACTACAAGTGAGTGTGCTTGTATAGCTTTTTATAATATTTACAGGATTGCTTACGAGAGATATTTCAAAGACCTAGACAGTAAATTGTCTTACATTTCCAGCGTAAAGACATAAATAATCATCCTTAAATTACAAATTTGATTTTCATGAGTTTTACGCCTCTAATTGAAATCAATGAAACCAATGAACATGAATGAAATGAACATGACACATGACAGTCATCTCAGAACTTAGAACCAACACGTCGTGATATAAATTAATCTTAAAAAATGGGGTTATTCTAAGGAGACAGATATAAAGTACAAAAACCTGAACACTTAATGGTTTTCACGACTTGAAATACGAATGCACTTTCTTTGATTGATATCCTTATCCATTCAGGCGACAGAATATTGGGAATATAAGATTTAGACTAAGCAATATGAAAATGATACAGTACTATAATATGGGTGGTAATCATCAATAGAATGATAGTTATAGTAACAAACTAGGTCGAGAAGAAAAAATTATAAATGAGCAATTTGACCAATAGTGGATGTTAAACTAATAAATCATCTAAAACGTCGTTAAAAAAATACCTTAATTACAAATATATAACTAAAAATTGAAGGGAAGAATTAGGATAGAATAAATTTAAAAAAAAACCGTACTTACTTTGCAAAAACTACTACCACCAAAAGCGATAAAATTGTTGTAAACTTCATACTAGATTCACTACTTTTAGAATATAAAAGAAAATTTTTATAATGCTACTAATGAATTAAATAGATTAAACATTGAGTGTTAGGGTTTTGTCTCACGTGATTTTATTTGATTCCTGCTCTATTTAGTGGTCAGTTTATATAGCAAACAAATAACGTGTTTCGACGTTTACAAGGATTTTGCAATATCAAAATTATGCTAATGACGTCTAAAACTTAGAACAGAGCCGGGTCTACAACACATATTGCAACTGCTGAAGAATTGTTCTAATATTTTCTATGAATAAAACACAAATTGCAAAATTAATTCTTTGATATAGATTTTCCATCTGTATCCAGATCCTAAATTGTAGGTTTTATTTTTTCTATAGTATCTTTTCAAACTTTCATAACTACTATGTCCTCATTAAAGATCATAATAGGTTTCAAAATGCAGATAAATATTATTGATTAACGATTTATCTATAGCTATTCTGATAGCTCTTTTTATTTTGTTGGATTTTTGAGGCTTTTATTGCAAATTCAATTAAACAGTCTCTTCGGTCGTTACGTTCACGTATTCTAAAGGTTACAAGAACTTTACTTAGGTACTTAATAATACACACATACAAAAAGATACTAGATCCATTTAGATAATAAAGGAATCAGCGACATAGAATAGACCAAAAAGAGTCGAAGAAAAACAAAAGCACCAACTGAAAGAAGCTGTAGTGCAAAAGTTTCTTTTTATGTAGACATGACTCTGGCTGGTTTTCAATGTGACTCTGTAAGTTGTCGTTCCATTGTTTTCGTGGTCTTCTTACTGATCGTCTTCCTATTGGGGAATCGTCTCTTGCCGTCTTGACTACTCTATTTGTTGTCATTCGGCTTATACGATCATTCCATTATACTTTTTCTTGCATCTACGTTATATATCAGTACTTTTAGCTCTGTCCCATAGTGTCTTGCCATCAATTTTTCTAAATGTTTTCTTCTCTGCTGTTTCTAACACCCTTTTAGTTCTCTCTGTGTCAGGTCTTTTTTCCCGATATTTTTATTTCTCCATATAGTTACATTCAGGCAGCCTGCGGCTCTGTTTGCTCTATTCACTTAATCTTCCACTTCAGTTTTAAGCTTTCCGTAGCTAGATAATATGATGCCTAGATATTTCAACTCCATCACTGGTTCTATTATTTTACCTTTCAGCTTCAATTTTGTCATGCATTTTATCTTTTTTGGGAAAATTAACATGTATAATTTTCTGGCGGTTATGTTAAATTGGTGCTGCATACGTTGTAAAGCGTCTTCACTTTAAGAGAGTAGTATTGCGTCGTCTGCATAGCAGTTTATTTTAAGTTGTTTTTCTGCCATTTGCCCCATTTCTCCCATTTCTCCCACGTTGGGCGCCAATTATTACCAATTAAATAAGAGAAAACTAGGGAATAGCTAATTGTTGCTAATTAAAATAAAGAAAAGCCTGAAATGGTGAAGCCAATATTAGAAATTATATAAGATGTATGGTTAAATAGAATTTAAAATTAATTAATAATGATTTAAATGAAAAGGTTAAATAACCGGGAATGTAACCAATATTAAAAGAAAATATAAAATTTACTGGAAGTCCTAAAATAGAATAAGCTTAGCTCAAGCGAATGAGAGTTCTCAGAGAGGAGGTTGACACGTTCGCTTGTTTGTAGTAACAAAGTTAAAGCAGATCAATCCTAAGATGATCTTGGAATGGGCGCCAGGGTAAATTTAGAATTTCACTCCAATTTGGGATATATGTAGTTATATACTAACTGAAAATAAAATATGATAGGAAACAAATAAAAATCTATATTATATAAACCCTATATTTATATACACCAACTAATTATGAAAATATATCCCCAAAAATATATATTTACAAAAGATAACAGTTACTAAAAAAACTGACCCAAAAATATAAATATATATATATATATAAAAGTTGATCTACACAGTCCTCTAACAATGAGGTAAAAGAGTATGTTAATGCTTGAATAACTCACTTGGAGTAAATAGTGATTAAATATTACAAAAAAATAGAATAATTATATCAGTTAATAAAGGGTAGTTTAAAAAAGGTGATAATAGTCAGTTAAGAAACTAGAGCAATACATACATCAATCCGGTATATAAAGGTACATACAGATTACCATAAAATTGGATAATATATCCTGATACCTTAATATAAGTGTTCTACAAAATATTAATAAAGAAATGCAAAGGAAATATGAATGAATAAAATTACAAGTAAAAGGATTCAGCAAGGCGAGGGTACTAGCAGAGATTGTGCACAACGCTGTTTCGTAAACCCACTTAGGCTGACGGCTTAAGTATCCAAGGATATAAGTTTAGGTTATATAAAAAAATTAAATTATTAATAAATGTTACATGAATGGTACTTAATAAACCCTATGAGATGGTTGCTGCGAATGGGTTTCCTTCCTCAGCTGCCTGATGTCCAAGTAGAGGGTGGTCTCTGGAATGGCTCAGCCTGTTCGTGGGAACAGCCTGGCAGACCAACCAGAAAATGGCAAATAAAATGTCCTCTTTTTGCCCAACTTAAAGCCCAATTATTCTTTCCCAGATACCAAGTATTTCCCAAAATTAAAATTTATTTCTTCCCCAAATCAAAAATAAAAAGGTATGTCCAAAACTTCAAGGTGTGACCGGCAGGCTACAAGAGAACGAAAACCTTTTTTTATTCAATGTTATTGTACTTCATACAGTTTTTGTGTTAGTAACAAAAACTGGAATATAGTTGTCACTAAGTGACCTTGGCATAAATATTAAATATTTCCACACTGGAATTTACTTATATATGTATATATAAAAAAATAATAATGATTTTTGGATATGTCTAGCAAAGTGAGAAGATTTAAATGATGGGGAACTGGAAAATTTAAATGAAAGATGTAGGTGTTTGAAAAAACTTACCAGAATCTTTCTAGGGATTTTCTTCCACATAACAATACGACTTCTTAAAAATTTCACCAAACTAAATAAATTCTAACTAACAGAACCAAAACTCCTTACATTTCCCAAACCAAAATAAAAAAATAACTTAAATTGTCTTCTAGTTTCCCGAAGATCCTGCCTGCCGTAATAAAAGTATCAACTTCCCTTGTTGAAGTTTGGTTCTAAAATGAATCAGGAGAATATGGCCGATGGCCAATATTCGTTTTCCCTATAAAAGTTAATCGATTATCTTATCGATATCGATGTTCGAAAGTCATAAAAATGAACTATTAGAGATCGTATTGTTGGTTGCATACCCCAACGGCGGCAAATTAGATCAGATTAGATTACTAACGATCGTATCGTTACAGTATTCTCTTTTTCTTTAATATTTTTTTTTATTATTTCATTCCTAATCAGGTTGAACAATAGAGGACTCAAGAAATTCTCCTGTCTTATCCCAATGCCAATTTCAATAGGGTCGGTTAGTTCTTCTTTCACTTTTACTTTTATTGTGTTATTTTGGTAGATATTTTCGATCGTTTTGATTATTGCTAGAGGTATCTCTCTTGCGATAATAAGTGGATAATGTCCTATAATTTGACCCCGTCAAATGCCTTCTTAAGTTCCATGAAACATATATATTCCGGACTGTTGTAATCTTATGATTTCTCTTGCACTTGTCTCATAAATATAGCGTCGCTACATGATTTTCCCGACCTAAAACGTTGTTGTTCTTCTGCTAGTGTTATAATTTCATTCAGTTTATTTGTTCTCACTTTGCTGTCCTCTCGTGGTGATTTTCTATTTTTTAATTTCCTTAATTTCCTTTACCTCTTCATCTACAATATTTATTTCTTCGTAGTGCAAAATGAAAAAGTAAAATTCAATTGAATCTTTAGCCTAACATCTATCCTGTGTTTTATCTCGTAGTATTTCGTTAGATTCCTGTTTCAAAATACATTTTAATTTTTTAAACAAACAAATACACAAGGCTGGCATTTTATATGTTAAAAAAACTGGGACAATTATTTATGAGTAGGCTAACAAGAATATAGGCCAGGACCGATAATTTTTAAATAGTCAAATAAAATAGTAATAAATTAATAAAGTAATATAAAGATCTACTTCTTTTTGTAGTGCCTATCCATTTCGGATGTTGGCTACGATCATGGCAATCTGTATTTTACAAACTGCTGCTCTGAAAAGATTTGTGGTTGTTGTGTTGAACCACGTACGTTCCTAGTCCTCGTTTTCCTTGTCGAATTAGTTAAAGCAACACTTATCTTTCGCTGTTTCTCATGATGTGACCGAGGTATTCGATTTTGGCTGTTTTTATTGTGTATTAACAACTCGTTTTTTTTTCTTCATTCTTAATAAAACGTCCTGGTTAGTAATGTGGTTGGTATAGGATATCTCCAGGATTCGAAGAGAAAGCCACATTTTGAAAGCCCCAATTTTCTTGTAGGTAGCGTCTGTGGGAGTCCACGAGTCAACTCCGTACAAGGATAAATACTTTTTTTAACATAACTTCCAAGTGCGCAAAGAAAACTGACCGAAAGCAGTCCCTGCATCTCTTTCTAATGGCCCGGATTTATTTACCACGTGACCTTCTTATATATAGGTCACGTGACCTTTTCATTTAGGTCACGTGGTGGATAAAACTAGCAAATTAGAAAGAGATTCTGGGACTGCTTTGCATCAGTTTTCTTTGTCGCACTGTATGGCATACTTAATCTATTTGTATTATATGTCCATGCAAATAACCGAGATTTTGGTTTTATTTTTATTTTCCACAAATTTTTTTCCACGAAATTTGGTGAAAACTTACCTTTTTATGTCCAAACACACTATAATGTTTTTGATTTAAAATATTTATATTCTTCGTCTTTCCCTCTTTCCTATTTTGGGAAAGAAATGAAAGGCTGAATTTACAAAACAATCATCAGACCAATAATGACATACGCGGCAGAATCACGATCTGACACAGAGAGGACAAAAAGAATGTGAGAAACAGCAGAGATGAAAACACTTAAAGAAATTGATGGCAAGACACTATGGAACAGAGCTAGAAGTACAGATATACGACGTAGATGCAAGGTGGAGAACATAATGAACTGGGTAAGAAATAGAAAACTAGAATGGAACGT